TCTTTATATCAAGGTGGCTTTCATTTTCAAATAATTCACACACGCACACACTCTCTTTCTCATTTATCCCCCCTCTCATTCACCTTTCAACAAAAAGGGGTTTGCTACAATAACATAGGGCTTGATAGAGGTCACGACAGAAAAGAAGGAAAAAAATATTTTTTTACTTTTGCAGGACCCTTAGCATGTGAGTGACTGTCACCCCTTCTAGCACAAATTTTCGATCACTCCAACATTTTTCCAATAAAAAATGGACAAATATAATATTTGTTAAGTTAAAAATTAAATCAATCAAATACATTTAATTAATAATTTACATACAAATAAGTTTTAGACAATAGAAATGTCTAGAATTTATTTTCTTTTTATACAAATTTCATACTTGCAATCCAATACACCTATGATTGAAATTTTGGATAATTAGCACAAAACATTCTTACCTTTCAATGTTATTGTGCAAAACGTTCTTATCTTTTTTTTTTTTACATTTTTATTCTTACATTCACTTTTATTGCGAAAATCATCATTTTCATCAAATTTCTCGTGTAAAATGACAAATATATCATCTATTTAAATAAAACAATAAAAAAGAAAAGAAAAGTTAAAGAATAAATTACAATCGTACTTCCAAGCTTTTTAAAAAAGTGCAAATGAGTCCACATAAATCATTAAAAGGGTAATTAACACAAAATGTTCCTATCTTTCATCATTATTGTGCCTTGTTTTATAATTTATGGCAAAAAGCATTATTTTTATCTATTTTCTTAAATAAAAGCTGTAAAATGATAAATATACCCTTCTCTTTAAATAAACAAAAGTAAAGTAAAAAAAATTGCAACTATACACCCAATTTTTTAAAAAAACTTAAATAAATAATTAAAAACAAAAAATTACTTTATTTTAATTATTTATTTGAAATTTATTTGTACTTTTTTGAAAATTTTGGAAATATAGTTGCAATTTGTTCTTTATTTTTTATTTTTGTTTATTTAAAGACGAGTGTATATTTGTCATTTAACAGCTTTTAATTGAGAAAATGGATGAAAATAATGATTTTCATAATGAAATATGAAACAATGGTGAAAAGGTTAAAAAATGAAAAGTAGGGACATTTTTTGCTAATTACCCTTGTAATAATTTATTTGGATTCATTTGTACTTTTTAAAAAAGTTTGGGAGTATGATTGAAATTTATTCTTTAACTTTTCTTTTCTTTTCTATTATTTTATTTAAATAGGGGGTATATTTGTCATTTTAAACTAGAAATTTGATGAAAATAATGATTTTCGCAATAAAATGTGAATGTAAGAGTAAAAGTGTCAAAAAATGAAAGGTGTGGACTTTTTGCATAATAATATTGAAGAATAAGGACGTTTTGTGTTAATAACCCTTTAAATAAGAATTACTGTATAAAAAATTAGGGACGGACCCACATGGCATCATGTGGGGTCAAATGACCCCACAAAATTTTGGATTTTTGTTTTAGAAAATATTTGTTGTAACCATTTTACGACATACTTTAATACATGTAAAATGAAATCAAAACATTACATTTTTAATATAATTTTGAAGCGCTCATGACCTAGTTTTTTGCTTCTTAGTGGCGTGCAAAATAATCAATCATAGTAAAAGTTATGATGTATCAAAGTAAGCCATTCCAAATTAATACTTCGAAAATTTCGATAATATGCTAATTTATAAAATTTGTCAATGATTGTATACTATCTAAATCCACAAATCGCCCACGTCATCTAGAAGCTCGTTTTGAAAACTATATCGTAGTTATATCGAATAGTCCAAACAGATATTGAAAATAGTTAAACATGCGTCAAACGTACGAATTTAAAATATGCGTTTAACTCGTTTTTTCTTTTGAAAAAATTCAATTATTTCATTAACATTTATTATTTTTACACGATAGATTTTTTAATATAATTTACATCATTTTATTAGGAAATTTTACATGAAATGTGACATTAAAAATTCTAAAATCGTTACGGATTAAATGTAATTCGAATTACTTTCACATTATTTTTTCGTTAAACTTAAGTTGTGTTTGCTTCCTGGATTAAATGTGAATTTTATTTCAATTCATTTACTTCCCTAATCTAATTTGATTTATTTGTCATTAGTTCAACATCCATAAATGACATGGTAAATAAAACTATACAGATAGCAAAATTCATTTAACAACATTGATAATGATATAATTATAAGACGTTTTCAAGGTGTCGAAATACGTATTAACTTATTTTCATTAATATCAAATTACACATTAATTTTTGACCTACAACCCAAAAGGTTCCATTTATAATTAAGCTTTTATTTGTCAATCATTCTATCACATTATTTTTTTTACAGTACTCATTTTAAGTTACACATTTTTTATTAAAATAATATTACACATAAATCTAAAATTTTTCCTTCATTTTTTAATCACGTATTTCAACAACAATCACAATTCTATAATACTGTTTTTTAAATAAAAGGGGCAGGCCCTAATTATCTACGTATAATGCATAGCGATTTTTTAGGTCGTCTACTCACCAAACTACCCATGTGAATGGCATGAATTTCCGCTAGTATAACGGTCCCACAAAACACGTGGTCATCAATCAGTTTTCCCTTTTTCAGCCGAATGATTATTCGAAACCCATCTTCTCACCGTCAATTTCAATCTCATCAGAATTCAGTACATGACATGCGCGGTGGGACCCATATCTGATCAGTTGATTACAATTCTTACACCTGTTCATGGCTGCCTCGTAATTGCATGGAATATAAAGTTGGAGTACAGCATGTGATGCGCAATGTACAATACCTGTTCTCGTTGACATTTAGGGCATGTTTGCGAAATGTTATTTGGACATGATAAAGAGAAAATTGTTGTTTGCACTTGGAAAAACTGGGGAAAAATAGTCGAGTTTGTACATAAGATCGCAGAGATGATTCCCCGATATCTTGTTAGACCTCAACTTCGACTAAATGAGTCAGTGAAGAGATCAGTTGTCGATCACTCCTTCATGGATTTGGCTGAACTTACTGAGCAAGTCTTATTTTGTAGATAATTATGAAAAATATATATTTATCGTTATTGTTGGATATTGGTTAAATAAATCGAGAATTGAAAATCGATTAAAGTGACTTCGTATCGACTTCGACCAAATACTCAAAAACTCGACTCAATCCGTTTAAGCAAAATTGTTTGCCATTTCGCCGCTTCGGGGCGCACAAACGGGGATCGACCTGCCCGGTCAGGTCGCGAGGGTCGAGGGGGCAGCGCCCCTCGTGGGGGGCGGGGGGCACGCCCCCGAAAGAGAATTTTGATTTTAGTACGCTCTAGCAGAGGAATAGCCCAGTTACTCCGGGGGGGGGGGGGCGGGCGGGGGGGCCCCCCGCGGGGGGGGGGGGGGGGGCCCCCCCCCCCCGAAAGAGAATTTTGATTTCTCTGCATGTATTGAAGGGTATATTTGGCATTTCGAAAATCAATATCGGATGAATGAGAAATTACGAAAAAGACCTCAACCATTAGTGAATAGACACCTTTTCATAAAGGTGCATTGTTTGGAAATGGTGCATGGTTTGGTCTCAACCATTTCGTCCACACCCCTTCATGGTCTATAAATAGGACCCTTTGGGTGTCATATTCCTCACAGTTTGATATGCAAAAACGTCTCTCATCCTCTCTTCTATCCAAAATCAAAATCATTTCATTTATTTTGATTTTCTTTCATTTCATCTGTGGAGTACATAAGCCTACATTGGGTTCGTTGTACTTGTGTTTTGGAGTGCTACAAACACAAGTGTAGCCGTTGTATCTTGGGAGTCGATTGCCGAAATCCGTAGGCACCGTTGCGGGGCAAATTCGACTTAAGGACAAAGAGTCCAACTCTTGCCTCGACTTTGTCACCATCATTATACTTATTTCGGCGTCACTATTCACAAAATTCTTCCAACAGTTATAAAGGGTTTTGACTGAATTTTAATATTAGCAAATTCAAATATATATTTATTAAACTGCTTGACAAAAACTAAAAGTTGTCAAACTATGCAATGCAAATATATTTTTATGCTCTGTTTTGGTTCAATAAAAAAGTTATATTAAAATTTAGCCATTGTTTGAGTTATATTCTTTGAAAAAAATGTATTTTTAAACAGTATTTTAATATTATTTTAACCACACATTTTTTAATAAAATAATATTATACGTAAATTCAAAATTTTTCTTTATTTTTTAACCACACATTTCACATCAATACAGTATTCAAAAATGCATTTTTATTACAAAAATGGGGTCAAAAAGGGCTTAGTCAAAATCAACAACTAAACTACACATTTCATGTGACATACTATTTTTCAACCATTTATTAAATCAATATTTATCAAAATTCCTAAAATTTGAATTTATCCAAATCAAACAATGGCTTAATTAGACAATTGTATAATAGACAATATTTGAACCTTTTTTCTTTCTCGATAATATCCAGTATTGTCCAATCCTTTTCATTAAATATTAATATGTCATAGAGAGATGTAAACAAATTCAATAAACGTAGAGTCGATCAAACTTACTTTGGTATTACATATAGTCTCAAACAATTATTTTCAACATAACATAATTCTACTTTAAGCTATATTAACCCGTATCTTGTAAGAGTACTTCAAACTTCATTGTTTTTTATCATAAAAGTGATAAAAAAGAGTTACAAGTCATCTTTTATATATTCGACTTTACTTATAATTCACGTTTTACTAATGTTTTCGACATTGAATAAATTGGTAGAACTTAACAAAGTCGTATTGAATAAATGTTTTTCTTAAATTGAGTAACAATGAGTAATTCCACCGTGTTAGAAATCTAAACCTCCCAAACAAGCCATTAACAATTGATAGCGAGTCTTCTAGAGAAGTCAATCAGTGAGCAGGTTCGGTCAATTCCCAAGCCTCAAATTCCATGACCGTACCTTTCTAGGCTCGGATCTTCCTGCCTATAAATAGCTTTTGCATTTTCCTAACCGCGTCATTGCTCTGTACCGGCTGTACGTGTAGACTCGGGGTTCGACTGAGGAGAAAATCAAAAAATATTTTCGAATAAGGTTTTATTCCGTGGACTCAACACTTTGATGAATTCGTGTTTATATTTTCATTTCTTGATTATTAATTTCATTTATTTATTTTGTGAGTTGTGAAAATTTTGTTGACGCTGAAATTTTAATTTGGGTGAGAAATTGGAATTTTGATTTGAGCTTTGAATGAAGTGAATTGGCCGCAAAGCAATCTAAATTTTGCATCTTCAGTAAATCGTTCTCAGGAGTAGATTTTTGGTTTTAAAAATTATTAATATTTGATTTTTTTTTTTTTCTAAACTTGAATTTTATGTAGGATTACAGGATGAGAAAAGTAAGGGAAATTTGATTTTTGTTTTGAATTTAGTTTTAACTTTGGATAACAGAACAAGAAAGGATGATTAATTTTCCTATGTTATTTTGATCTGAAGAACAGACAATATGGCTTTAGTATCTGAAGGAAGATCAACACTTAATCCCGACGCGCCTCTCTTCATCCCGGCATCAGTACGCCAAGTAGAGGACTTCTCGCCTGAGTGGTGGAATCTAGTGACGACCTCGACTTGGTTTCGTGACTATTGGCTCAGCGAGCACCAGGAAGAGGATATATTGGGCATGAAGGATGATGGTTTTGATGACAATGATGTAGCTAAATTGCTGCCAGATAACATTGACCTCCTTGTGGATGATGATACCTTGAATATGGAAGCCCAATTTGAGGAATTTCTCCACTTAGCTGAGCCTGAATATGGAAGCAAGGCTGTCAAGGGAATATCTGAAAATGGTATGCTCCTTTTTTCCTTATTTTGATTGATAATGGATTTGCCCTGTTTGCTTGTTAATAATTTGGCCAGAACATAGTTTTATCTTGCCTTAGGGAAGTTGATTATGACCATGAACATTGTTCAGTTTTATTTTATAGATGTCGATGAAGGTGGAGGATTTTCTAATATTGATAAAAATAAAATATAAAATACAAACGCAGGGGCCATACAACACTTCCATCCAATGAAGGGAAATGCATAAAACTTGAACCAAAATTGCCTATAGCTGGCTTTATCGGAGTAAGCTAATCTTTATCCGAAGATCAAATTCATCACCAGTAAGACGTGAATCGAGTTGCATGGATGAAATAAAGTGTCATCGCAAACCAGGGAACATATTGACATCTTAAATTTGTAGCTACATTGATTATGTTTTGAAGAACTTTGATTGGGGGTTGATATAGCATGCTCTTTTTCTTTGCTTTGAGTCCTTTGACATGCAACTGATGTTATTACCATAACAAACACTTGTTAAATTTGTATTGGTCGTCAGGCTTGAACAGGAATGCAGAGGCTGTGATCAAGAATCCGGGTATGTTAAATTGGAGAGGTTCCAAGTTCATGGGGGAGCCGGCTAATTACTGGGAGAAGCCGGCCAAGTATGTTAGCCCAAAATCCTGAAGTGTAGATTGTTTGGGTCTTGGTTTGCAGCTAGACCAAGAAGTGGCAGTCTTTTGTTTCTTGTAGCATTATGTATAGAGCAACGTTTGTTTCTAGTTATGTTCCAAAAACGCTTCTTTAGTTTAGCAATGAGATAATGTAAAACAATCATGTAGCACAAATGGAGAAAAATGAGAATAATATAAGTTTTAGTCAAATGAATTTCTCAAATCTTTCGAGTTTTTCTTATCGTGACCAACAGAAATGAAACTTCCATGGGTTGCTTTGAACAAACTTCAATCTACACGATACAGATTTTGAAACCGAAGGATGAAGAGTCATATTGCAAGAATTTGACAGAAACTAACGAAACACAGAAATTTTCGAAATTTTCATTCGTAAAAGATCTCTACAAAGCTTACTCCCAATCAGGGGAAGGAAGAAGACAAGTGGTACTAGTCAAAACGATAAGGTATAACCCAATTCTGTTAACTGCTCAACTTCGACAAAGAAGTGAGTCTACTCCCTGATCCACTGCCAACCATTATCAACCACCATAGCTGCTATTGCCATTGTTGACCAGTTGAAGAACTTATGGGGAACGTGATTTTAATCCATGTAATGTACTAAATTCAAGACAATCAGTACAGAGAGAGATTGGTTTTCATTTTCTCGCATAGGTAATCATGTATCTTTGTACATTGGAGTAATTTCAGCGGATTTACTTTTGACACATTGAATTAGAGTCATTATGAGTTGCTAACCGTACCTGCGTGATGGAGGAGTAACGAAACAAGCAAAATTTAATTTGACATCCAACCATAGTGCAGAATCGACATGTTTCATTCCAAGAGACATAACAGGTAACAGAGTGCTTGCACATGCTTGAGCTAGAAGAATCTGAAGATTCAGGAGCAAGGCAAACCTGGATAAGTTGCAAAAGGTCAAAGTTGGATTGTGTGAAGTAGTATATCAGCTTCCGCTCAACTAGGTACTTCTGAAAGTAGAGCATCACTTTCTTCTTGAGAATTTCTCTTGGATTGAGCTTCAAGTTTAGTCTGGTTCCCAATTGCATCAGATATAGCCTTTGGCAGCAAAAATCCCGGTCGCTCAAGAACTCGTGCCCGATCAAGTACCAAAGGTTCCCGCAAAGAAATCTCTATACCATCATATGTCCAAAGAGTCAAGTTTGCTTCACCTTTTAAACCCAAAGAGAACCAACCTAAGCCAGCCACTGCAACGTCAACACTGTTCACATCCCAGCTCGTTCCAGATGCTTTGACCACTCTCTTTCCCCACGTACCCAATTCAGAGACTCGGTTAACACTAACAGGAGGCTGAAAGAATAATTAGCAGGAAAAAAATATCAGAAATTATATTCTGGAATTTGGAATTTTAGTCTTGAATTTCATATACGTGAAACGTTATTTATGTAGAAAATTGAAAGACCAAAATCTCGAAAATTCCTTCAAGACAAGTTTTACTTCCCAGAGCACAGGACTCCAAATAAGAAATTCCAAAACTAGAATATTTTACTAGCAATCTGTACTGACTCTCTTGGAAAAGATAAAAGCACAATTTGAACTAGGATATGGCTCATCAACAATGAATATTACCGAAGTTTTACTACGGAGAAGATCAAAACATCCTCAACTATTAAAAGAAGACGAGATAAAGTGATGAACAGCATACAAACCTAAACTTCTTATTAGAACTTTCTCCATTAATCAACAAGGACACTTTTCTTTTAACAAAGATGTGCTCTTAATTGAGTGAATTTTGTTATTTACATATCTACTTTAACAGTCTTGTTTAATCCTGTCTGCATAAAACTGAGAAAGATGTGGGTTAATTTTCCACAAGAAGGGTGAAATGCATAGTTCCACAATGATTTGTATTACTAGAATGTAAGAGTGTGTTTGGGAAAGATTATGTGAAGTTAAAAATGAATTTTTTGGAGTACGAGCGGTAAAATGTAGGTAAAAGTTATAGGTCCACGTGCAAAATTATTTTATTAGAAGAATGTGATTGAAAATGAGTTTGAGGAAAAATGATTTCAAATAGGCTGTGCAAAATAAATGCTAAAATTCAAGTGTTTACCTCCTTAAACACTGAAGAAAAATTTCCTTATGAGGAAACTCTTTTAAGTATATTTTGATAGATCAGTTTTTTTTAAAGTAACTGAAGTTTTCTTGCATGAAAATATAATGATCAAACCTTGTCTAGTCTTTATTGTTTCTTCAGCTTCAGTCAGAAGTGATGGTCTGGAAAAGAAAAAAGTATCTGCAAAAGGATTCCATGAATGGAGATGCCATCCGATACAACATATTGGGAGTGACCATAGCTCTACTAAAATATATGAAATACATATAATTAAAGATGTGATATTCCAAATGAATGATGGACACTATCTCCTTCAAGATTAAGGGTCGACAGCATCAGTTGTGAAATAAAAAAATTTCACAGTAAAAACTCGTACAGATGAACATTATACATCATCTATATGGTTAAATATGTTATATTCCAAGAGGACGATGAGTATTATTCCATTTAAGATGATGGGTCACTGCATCAATTGCAAAAATAAAAAAAATAAAAAAAAAATTTGTGGAATAATTCATCCAAATGAACCTTACACATCAAATATAAATCAATGCAGAAAAATGTTAAGGGGAAAAAAAGGCTAAACTGGCAGATGTTCATTTACCGGCTGAAAACACATGCAACTTTTATTTTTAAAGAGTTAAATTGCATACACTCAATGTTGCCAAGAGATTTTTGTTTGTGGTCAGAAGCATTACCTGTAACCTAATGCCAGCATGCTTGCTCTTGATCTCGTCAGCATTTTCAATCTTCCCTAGATGGAGCGCAACATTTGGAGATGTCCAAACCGTGACATATATTGTTTCCACAGAAGCCTCATTAAGATCTAGTCTGGCTAAGGCACCAACATGTACAGCTTGACCTACCTGCAGAAGATTAAAATTCTGTATTAGCCTATTAGGCGCATGTTTGCTAAGGTCAAGAAAAATAGTAATAGTACTTTTCCGGAAAGCAAGCAAAGACAATTAGAAGCTGCTTCTGAGTAACTTCTTTCCCCAAACATGTTTGCTAAGGTCAAGAAAAATAGTAATAGTACTTTTCCGGAAAGCAAGCAAAGACCTTCTTTTAAAAATGAAGTTTTTGAACTAACAAAACCCCCACCCCACCCCACCCCACCCTCGCCCAACCCAATCTCCAAATAAAAAAGTAACTTTTAAAAATGCTCAAACATGTTTGGGGAAAGAAGTTACTCAGAAGCAGCTTCTAATTATTTTTAAGCTTAACAAATATGATCAGCAGGCTTTATCCAAGCAAGTTTGACGACACATGGACGGTGTTTACAATATTTTAAAAACTGAGGTGCTACAATAAATATAGCATATTAAAATGTCGACAACATATAAAAAGTTTTGTAAACAGCTGTCTTAGCAATGAATTAATTCATATAGCAATCCCGATTAAAAAGGGAAATATTATTAGAATCACAAAAATGCATAATCTTGACATCGTTTAAAAACCAGCTTATCTCTGACTCTGGCAATTTGTTCATTTATCAGTTGCCATAACCAGCTATTACTCTGTGGCAAGTCATCTTGAAGAAAAAATAACAGTTCATACAAATCAATAATTTGAATATTTAGGCAGATTATTCTCTATCAGAATTTTAATTACCATAATCTGTAGGGTGTCATTAGTCCTAATGGACAAGTAAATAATAACTTACCTTTATCCTAAAAGATCGAGGTTGTAGCTCTTTTCGTATCTCAACCATTTTCTGCTCCTCCCTGTTCAATCTCATGGAAATTAAATATGGATGTAGGAGGCCTGGAGTGTCATACATTTTTGCCTTAGCAGACAATATTCCTCCAATTCTCAAGATACCGAGTGTTGTTCCAGGAATGGCGGCTTCTGTAAGTTTTGTGACCTTTACCCCTTCTTTCTTGGCGAATGCATTGATTAGGGTCGACTTTCCTGCATTTTGAGCCCCGATAACCCAAACATTTCCTCTAGGCCCAGCCATATCCTTGATGAATGCAAACAAGTTCTTTACACCCAAATCCTTACGAGCACTAACCATATAAACCCCACTTAGCTTAGGTGCTCCATTTGCCTTTGCACGGTGCCTAACCCATTTATCTAACCTTGAGGGCGAAATCTGAGAAGGAAGAAGATCAACCTTCGTAGCCACTAACACAAGCTTTGGCACCTTTTTACTAAGCTTTAAACCATCTTTCCTTCCTTCCAACACTTTAAACAAGGACTTGGCTGCACGTTTTGGAAATGAACCATCAAAATCAATACAATCAACCACCATAACCACTACAGTAGCATCTGCATTTCCCGTGGGCTTCATCAACCTCGTACTAATCAAACGATCAAAATCAAAATCCGGTATCAAATTTTCAGCAGCCTGATTTTTCACCTTGCCATAATTTCTCAAAGAATGACATCGTGCACAAACTGTCACCTCTTCGATCTCTCTTTGAGCCTCCCTAGCCATTCTTTTTCTTTCCGCCTTAGACACCCTCTTCTTTTTCGCCTTCTCAAGCAACTCCTCTGTAATGTTACCAAACCCAACTCCAGCTGGAGCAAAACCATCCAACTCCTTCAACCAATCATCATCTTCATCTTCCAACTCAGATTCCCATTCTTCTGAATCCCAACTAATCCCATCCTTATCATTTTCTTCCAATTTTCCCTCAATGTCATCCTCAAACTCATCATCATCTTCTTCAAACTCATTAAATTCCTCATTCAAAAAGTTCTCCACATACTCCCCATCATCCCCCAAATTTGTTACTTCCATTTCCCTCTTCTTGTAATACCCAGGGAGATTTGGGTCTTTATCTTGCATGAACACTCCACAACCAGGGCATATAGGCCCATAATTCTCATCCTCATCTCTTCCTTCACTCAAAACCAAACCTTTAGCGGTTTTTCTTGAAACCTTTCCATTCTTTTTCTCAGCTTTCTGAACAGTTGCTTCACTACCTTTTACACATAAAGCAATGCACAAACCTTTCTTGTTATACTCGTCCTTCTTCTTTCCTACATTCAGCCCTGCAAATGATTGATTTAGCAAGTGGGTTTCACACAAAGAGCAAGAAAATGATAGAAATTAGAGAGAGAGAAGATTTACCGGTACCAAGCTGAAATCTTGATAAATGGTTTGCTTCAATATAGCCGTTCAAAGAAAGACCGATTTTCAGTTCAACAGTCGTTGATGATATAGAGGCTGTTGACAGCAAAACCGCCATCCCCCTCCGCCTTTTTCTTCCGCTAATACCCTGTCCGGTTTGGTTGCCCCCAATATCCCCTTACAATCTTAATTGTATCACAAATAAATTTTTTTAATGAAGGTCACTGAATTTATAGGTTTGTTTTATATAAGTTACTAAACTTCAATTAATTAGTAATCCAACTTTTTTTTTTTTTAATCTCCGTTTAACCCTTTTCATCCTTTCCATGATTAAATCTAATGGACCGTCCAACATGTCAAATGTAATGTGTAGTGTAGGGAAGCTAGTTTGAATTTAGATTAGCGTGCTGTCAACTTGAAAATTTTGCATTTTTAAACAAATAAAGAGAGTTGGTTTTCATCGTTATGTCTATGAACATGAATAATCAAAACAATTGTTTCAATAATTAGTAATGAGTTGGAGTTAGGATTATGCTACTTGTGCTTAAAATTAATATATAATAGATTACATAAAATGTTGTGAAAAAAAAAATTGACTGTATTTTAAATTTACAAATGATAAAGTAATTTGCGACATTATATAACATATTATATAAAGTTTGATGTACATACAACAAGGTTCAAGGAACTAGCACTCATTAATTTGTTTAAAGATTTCAAGCCGAAGAAATACATCTATAAGTCGTAAGAAGTAACTCTCTTATGCTAAACTCTAATACTCTATGACTCTTTATGTTTCCATCGAATGGTTGCTAATCATTATTCTTGGTAAATTATTGCTTTATAATCAGTTTTCTTTTTTTCTTTTTCTTGTTTTCATTTTTTTTTTTTTTTAATATCTAGCCTATTTTGATTTAGATGCTTTAGAAACAACTTATTCTTCTTAGAACACGGATGCCCACATAGCTATATTCTTTAGTGCAATTGCTGCATTTGGTCTCACTATATCTAGCTTGTTTCTGAGTTTGGCTAGCATAGCACAACCAAATGGAGGGTGTGGATGGGCTCGAAAAGAAAGAGTTATGCTCCCCTTAGCCTTGCCTCTTCCTCAAGTCGATCAGTATGTCATTGACAAGTGTATGGCTAAGTCGGTTGACACTCATTTCTCGATTGAGCTTTTTCACTTTTCTCCTTATCAGTGATTGAGCGACTAGAATGAATAGATCCAACTATCAAAAATGCTTATATATTTATTTTCAAAGATTATTAAAAAATAATAATAATATATTTTTCACTCTATTTCCTTCACAATTCAAATCTTGATTTTAATCTAAATTAAAGTCAATAATTGATTTTAGTTATATATTTCATTAGATTCACGACTTTTTAATCATACATTTCATTAACCTTAATCAAAATCTATTAAAATTTTGATTTTAGTTACACCAAATATGGGCTATCTACAACAATTCTTTCACGAGATAAAACATCGAATACCATACCCTTACCATGTCATCTTCCTGATCCCCTTCTATTTACAAGTGGTATGAATAACTGAGTTAACTGTTGTCATTGAACTTGTACCTCTCCAGCTTTAAAATGCTTTGAACATTGCTAATTCAGAGGTAAAAAAATCCACCAGAAGTTGCGAACAAGAATCCTAGGGAATGGGCTCTCCACTCCGAGCATCGAAAATGTCCACAATCTTGAAAATCTCTTTAATATTCTCGATCCCATATTCTTACTTGATATTCTCCTACTACAACATCGACTATGAAATCAAAAACCCAATTTGGGTTAATGCATTAGTCAACGTTAGTGTTTTTCATTACACTATCTGTGATTCCCCTGGTAGTGATCTGTAATGCGCTCCCAAAATTTGGTTAAAGTCACACTTAATAAAATTGTGATCTATAATGTGTTTTAGGAACTTACTAAACACATTGATGTAACATTTCATTTTATTAGATATGTTCTCTCTTATAGTTTGATTAACCTTATAAGGTCACTCTCAGTTAAATTCAGCACATATGTGAATCAAGATGTTGACTTTAAGTGAATTTAAGAGTTGTTCGAGTGTCTTAAATATTGATAAAGGCTAGTTAAGTTTCAATTATGATAACATCAATGGAATATATGTAAAGTTAGTTTTATTCGGTTTTGCAAATAGAACGTCAAGCTGAGAAGCAATGAACTATTGTGAGGCATGGTGCACCAGGGCTGCTCAGATGTTAAGCAACACCTGTATTAGATCGAAGTGGAAATTATTCAAATATGATACAAGTGCTAACGCTGACTTTTTGACCAAAGCAGTATGTTTTAGGAGGGATATTGTAATACATCTTATCTATGGGAAATTCTGGTATTTAGAGCGGCAAAAGCAGAATATTCAAATTGTTAGTAAAAGGATAATTTATATACTTGGAACTGAATCTTGATGGGAGTTAATGAAACTACCAATCTACTTGCACAGATAGGTGATGCATGGACAGCTGCATGCCCCATATGAATTTTGCTACTTATACATAAAAATGATACCTAAGCAATTACCAAAAATACTGTGGAGGAAAAGATTGAAAGAAAAAATTGAACGTATTTTAAATTGACAAATGGAAAAGTGACATACTGATATTATGTAATCTCTTATATAAATCTTGATATACATTTAATGAAGTCCGCCACGCATCTGTCAACATATCCGAACAAAAATTTTCTACTTGTAGCAGAATTCCTATACAGAAGTCAGAGAAATTAAACCGGTTTGAAACTCCAATTTAACATTTCATCACACATGCAACATGGTTATGTGCTCACTGACAATTTAATACGTTGAAGAGAGTACATATATTGAGTCGTCACCAACGGGTGCAGCTTTCAAATTTTTGTCAAGTAAACAAAATAATGACATAAAATAATCTCAACTGCACTTAAAATCCAAAATTGACAAGAAAAACAATTCATTAATGCAAAAATGTGAAAGCAATTTCAGTATCAAATCTATCGAGCAGGCTGTGATTGTTGAGCATGTTCCAAAAGCTGTGTGACTAACTT